TATCTCAAAACGCTGTACTTAGGAATACTGTTCTGTGTCTTGCACGCAAGTACACACACTTGAAAGTCGAGTTTCGTTTATTAATCAGTGTGGCACTCAGCTGATATCGTAAACCTAAACCGCATCTTGAGGTATGTTTATTAATATGATCATAACCTCAAGATTGTACTCAAGTGCGTGTACTTGAGCTGAGTAACGTTTATTAATACGTGCCTGAGTCTTCAACAAAGGGGCGAGTAGCAGCTTCAAGGAGTCAAGACGTCTGGTACTGCGATAGCTTATGCGTTCGCCAAGTGTAGCGATTAGGACAATTTCTTCCTACTATGGCAGCTAATGCTAAACAAGTCACAGAATGCGACAAATTTTTTAAATTTATTACAAACTACCTACTTGTTAAATTTAAACAAATAATTTTAAATTATAATTTGGTAAAACTTAAAACAGGTAAATAAAGATTATTATCAATTATCACAATCAGTGGACTGCATAATAACATCTATACTCAATTTCAGGAACATCAGGTTGGGTGGGTGCTGACGGATACTTACGGTTGCAGGATTACATTGCTGATGGCCAAGGATACAGAATCTACAAATCGAAAACGGTTTACGTAGGACTGAACCGACCAATTGGAGTGCGTATACAAATAATTATAATTTCTAACAAAAAGTTAAAACCGACTTCGAATTGCTAAAAAATAAGTTATTTATTTGCCACCCTTAGGGGTGGAATTTAAAAAAAAAAGAATCATTAAAATCGGTTCTCAATCTGCGACGATATGATATATTACTTAAACAATAGTTCTAACTCCTAATATGAATAGTAGTAATATGAAACTTTTCCCCCTATTTTTCACCCTTGGGGGCAGATTTTTTCTTTACAATTTAATGGGACCCTTAAGGTAAAGCCTACTAAATAAAAAAAGAATAATTATAACGGTTCAAAATTTGCGAAGATATCGCTTAACATACACACAAAAAAAACTATACACTCTAATCGAGAACCTCCTCCTTTTTGAAGTCGGTTAATAAAAGTAGCAGCTACAGGCTGGCCACGGGCAATCGAAATTTTTCTCTGACCTAAGTCTCTTGTTTTACGATCATCACCATTACAGCCCTTCACGAGCCCATTGCTGAACATAGGCATCCCCCAAGGAACGCCACAAAGCACGGTCCCGAGCCACCTGATTCCATTGACTTCCTGCATGTCTTACCAGGTCATCACTCCATCTAGTGGGAGGACGCCCTACACTTCGCCTGCCTATTCCTATTCTACTATATATATTTATACTATTAATACACACACACACACTAGATTCAGATTTTCAATTATGTTAGTCGATTGTTTCCTTTCCGAACTTTGTAAAAAATCGCTTGAAACGAGAAACACGAGGTTACTGATCAATTTGAATTTTAAAGACACTTGTGACATTCATAGCAAAAATAAAGAATTTTGATTCAGAGATAAGTTACTGTCGTGGAGGTCTACCGTAGATTTCGCTTATAATTGATTTTTAGGAACAGTCACTACTAATATATTCAATAATTATAATTTGAAGCCGATTTATCACATGAGCGATGTAAAGGAACCATTATAAGAATTAACGAAAATTGGCCACGGTGACGACACGAATACTGGATGGAACAATATGACAAAATCTTCCCTGCTACATAACCTCTAGCAAAGATTTATTATGATTATTTTGAATTCCCAACCCAAAGCAATAGATATATAAAATATGTTAATAATATAATACATATTTTTCTGATAGAAATGATTAATAACTTAAAAACTTTAAATGTATGTATTTTGCAGATATGTATTAATTAGTATCTTAAATTATACCTATTTTATCATATTATTTGGAATTATTCGGAATTATTTTTTTAACCCATACTGTGGCGGCAAAAGCACCTGATTCTCACCTGTATAGGTGTTTAAGAGGCGACTCTGGGAAATTCCAGAAAGATCTTATGGCTTCAGATAGACATTGGTATTACTATCTAATTTACGCTATACGTAAAATATCCAGACTGATAAAACATCTCAAGAACATTTTTTCTCGTGTTAGTTTTGAGTGTCGGAGCGCCTATTTTTCTAGGCCACTGGCATTTATACGTTAAATGACGAACCTAAACGTAAGACACTACTATATTATCCCTAATCCCTATTACCTTACGATTCCATAGCTACTCATTGTTGCGATGGAAACTAAAAGACTTCAGACACGCATTGACCCTCTTTTGAAATTGAAGTGACTTTACCATGTTATATAGCAAGAAAACAAAATATTTCCTCGCCTTTTCTTGAGCATTATACTGCAGTAATTAAACACTTAAATTGATCTGTCAGACTTTGTCTTTTCTTCGTTAACACTACTTAAATTATGTTTACTTAAATTATGTTACTTAAATTATGTTTTCAGGAGTCGATAAAAATTGCAAAATCTGCTCCTGCTGATTCCGGATTCGGTGTTACGTCTGCACGTCCTGTGCATCGTACCATCAGCCCTGCTCGTGGAAGTACAACAACGCAACGTCCGTCAACATCTCCGCCGACGACACACAAACCACCACAATCATTCCCAGACGAAGTCTTCATAACTCCGTCAACACCTTCCTATCCTCGTCCAACTTCAACACCCCAAGTCGAAGTATCTCCTAACTCCATAGATGAGTCTACGCCTTTTAATTTAAGACCAACTGTACCACCTATTACAGCTGATGAAGCATCACAGCCTCCAAATACTTACGATTACGAAAACACAAATACAATTGAAGATAACTATTACGCTAGTGACAGTACACCTTATAGGCGTTACGACGTGTTTAATCCCAATTCGTATAGACATGCTGGTGACTGGACACGCCGTTATCAATCTAGCATTCGACTTGGAGATGGCTACACACCACAGTTCCCTGGGTACAACGGAGTAGCGCGTGGAAGAAATGGGTTCCGTTATTATCTTCCAAAGCAATACCACGAAGAAGTAACGCAGAATACAAACGAAAGGATCGGAAGCTTTGGTTACATAGACCCATTTGGCATTCGCCGAGTTATATATTATAATACATCACCTGGTGAAGGGTTCCAAATACGTAAGAACAACAGATATGTTGGTCATGACGCAACACCTTACGATCCTAGGCCGATTGAATGAATTCGAGTCATTACTTAGTAAGTGTGAGTCAAAGTTATCTCTTGCATATCAGTATTTTATATGTAACCAAATTATTTTATGCGAAGACAAAACGATTGTATCTCGAACGAAATCTCTTAGCCATAAATCTATAAAACCTATGTAAACGTTTTTTGTAAGACAAACGATGTAAACTGTAATTTATTAACGGATATGTTTATTTATTGTATTAAAACACTGGTTTTATAAGTATAGCATTAGGTTTTATACCAGTGTCTTTGTAATTACACTTATATTGGTTTACGTATGTAAATTAACTACTTAATGAAGGGTAACTTATTGTTTCTAAATCATTATTATCGATTATGTTATATCTACATATTATATTATGTGATCTGAATATACCGTGAAAAATTCTAAAATATTTATAAAATAAATTTAACCTTTTTGAGTACATTGAACTTAATTTTCTGATGGTCAACACAGTAAAAATTATATCTGTTTAAATTACCGTGTGGGTGCTTAATTATAGAGATCGAATGAGTTTTGTGAAGTAAACAGATCATTATTTCTCTATAAGCACACTTCACAAACAACGAGCGCTTTAAAACTCCTTTTCAGAAATAAGAGCCTTAGGTCATATTATGCTAACGATAATGTTTATGTAAGCGCTTGCATTAAAACGTAAGATGTGATCTTAACCTTTCTCTAAATCGTAAAAGTCTATGTGATATGTAGAAATTTGTGCTATTTTAGCGTAGGCCTAGACTAAGCGTAACGTAATCTTATTTAATAAAAACAATGTCATATTTCTTAATTTATTATATTAACTAATATTAATTCCCAAAATGACGTAGATTACAACGAAAACAGGTTACAGCACAGTACTGTATTTCATTGACTTATAGATAGTTATTTTTCAAAGAGTAGCCAAATTTTAAACATAAGTTCAAATATATAAATAATGACATACCGTTATAAGCTTGGTGTATGTAAAAATAAATGAGTTGATGCGAATGATTTGTCATTAATGAAAAGTATATCAAGTAAATGTTAACACCTTAATGACAACTTGTTGCAACAACTTTAAATGGGATATTACTTCTAAACGCAATAGTGTACTTGATAATTAATAGAAAAGAAACAATGTTAACCATTTAAATTAATTATTATTTATTTTATTATTATATAATATGCATAATGTATATTCAATTGTAATTTAATTTCAATTGTTAATTTAGTCAAACTAAAATGTTTAAATTTAAACAAATACACGAAGGGTTAACTTTAATCACTGTGTATTATTATTTTAACCTTAATAAGCTAAGCATTTATTGTTAAAGTATTTACTGTCCAATTTTAAGACACAGTAAGTTAGCTTATCCATGATTAAAATATGTACGAAACAGGGAATAGCTCAGTTATTAGCTGATACAAATAACTTTTAGTGACTTTAATATTTTTACGCCCAGAGGCCATTAATTTGTATCTAACCTATTTATTTTCATGCTAAATACATTGAAAAAAAAAGAAATAATACAATATGAGATTTAATTGATTGATTTAATAAATAAAGATAAATAAGAAGCGAAGGAGATAAAAAATTGGCTTATGAAATTGTTAGAACTTCGTAGATGACAATAATGAAAGTATACACTATTGTAAAATAAAAGATAACATAAATCGGTTTATTAACCTCGGACATAGTGTTACACCATCATACATGTATTATAATAATACATAATAATTAATCCTTTCAACACATCCTTTTTTGAAGTTAAAAGTAACTGAACTTCTTAATTATTATTTGATACAAGTAAAGCATACACAAATAATATGAAACAAGTTACACTAGTACATGTTAATGTCTAGGTACAAAAGACAATTTTATGGGTTTATCTGGCTTATTTATCAATAACGTTTTAATTCCCAAATCTCCGCCCATCCACTTCATTTCAAATTCAAGCACCAACTGGAACATAAAAAATTAACTATCCATGATAAGTTTATATCTAGCTGTTCAAATACGGATTAACTACATCCGTATTTGAACAGCTAGATATAAACTTATCATGGATAGTTAATTTTTGTATAAATGTAGAAACTGTATCATTCAAATATTATGACTTTTTCTGTACACTGATGGCACAGTACTTTTATAATGTAGTCGAATTGTAAATTACTTCCTTTTCTGAAGTGGGCTAAAAACGATTACAAGATAAGCCGTTACACAATTGCGGCATAACCTTTTATTAGAATAATAGCATAAAGTGAGTAACGTAGCTTTTATCTTTAAAAAAAAAGGTTTTTTTAAATAAATAAAAAATCTTTGTTTGGCATTAGAATGAAATATTTATCTTAGGGACGAAATCTTAATATAAATCAAAACCGGTAAAACATTACCGAGATACAAAATTTCACCAAGTTTTACGGGTAATGCACATCGAGAAACAACTAAAAGCAAAACGATGTAGTTCATAAAAATACGACAACGGAGATGACGACAGAGCATATTTTTTTATTACTTCCTATCGAAGTCAACTACTGAACGTATGCAATATTTGACACAGTGGCCACACTTGGCATACGTTTTGGTAACCACACTTTTTATTATTATATTAAGTTGTTATCAGAAAGATGCTAATGCTCATCTACTTTTACAGTTTCCCTCTGTCGCTTCTTACAACACCCACTTCTCTGCCTAACACTTATTAAAATGTAATTACTGCTGCAATATAAGTACTGTGATTTTTTTTTATAAAATTAGATTATCATCTTACCCGAATTAGTGTAATGCACATATTTTGTTCCGCCAACCTCCTGGCAATACACGATCGGGGACCAAATCCAAAGGGTAGACTTAAAAATGGATGTATATTCTCGTAATGAGATGAGCCCCTTATCCACCGCTCTGGCTTAAAGAGCATCGGGTCCCGCACGTACTGCGGTAAACGGGATGCTACCATGTTTTGTGTCACTATAACAGTCTGAAAAAGAATTACAATAAGAATTGCAAGAAGAAGCAAAATAATTGGAACCGCGTCTTTTCGTGTTCGTTGTCAGTAGCGTTCAAAAACCATAATATTCCGTCCAATATCTAATCAAAATATCAAAAATATATTGCATAAGAGTGATCTGCTAACAGTCCAGCTTGTCCTCCTTGTTGCCATTTATTAAAGGCTACTGGAGCTAATGGGCAAATATAAACAATTTTAAACAAAGAAGTCTACGGAGTACAGATACGTTGTCATTAAGAATTAAGTGAAATACTACATAGCCTTTATTATACTGAATGCATTATTTATTGTTCAGCAGAAGAGATGAAAAACGCTACAAATTTTTGGCGACAAAAATAATACAGCTGAATTGTACGTGATCCACTCAGAAAGTTTTGCGATACTAAAAAAAGTTCTGTGGTTAAAGTTTTTATTACTATTAAATTGGTTTAAAAATTTCACCAGCATACAAAGTTTCATGCGTCTGAACCAAATTTTGGAAACACCCTTTTCCAGTTCACTATGGAAACGGAAAATAATTGTATTTTGAAATTAAATTATAAGTGGCCAGTGTCCCATACAAAATTTTTTTTCCGCAAAACTTTCGAGTGGCCTGTCGTATGGTGACAGTGTAAAAGAATCCATCAACAAGACTATGAGAAATGCCAGAAAAATATTTTAGCTTCCGATAAATGCCGCTATAATTCCCCAGCCAAGTGTAAAAATTACGGCATATCTTCCCTACAACCGAAGAGTCCTATGACTGATACGGGTCGATAAAGAAGAATAATTTACTGAAGGATAATATGCATTTATAAATTTTTAAGATACACATTTAGATGCCACATGATCTTACACCACCTTACAGCCGTTAAGACTAATTTACACAGGGTCAGTAACAGGCGCCAGTACTGGCACCGAATAGAATAGAATAGAATAGAATAGAATAGAATAGAATATTTTTATTCAATATACATTACATGTGTAATTCTTATTGAAAGTCATTTTTTACTTTACCACTGGTTCGTAAAAAACCCTCTATCCTGGGAAGAACCAGCAAGAAACCCAGCGGGACTTTTTTTTAAAATAAATTTTACAATATAAATGATTACGAACTATTTACAAATTTTATTTTAGAAACTGCTTGGAAGCGACCACCTCATTCCCAGGGGTTATTATCAACCATGTATTCATTTATACTATAATAACCCTTTTTATACAGTTTCAGCTTAATAAAACATTTAAACTTGGTAATAGAGAGAACCTGTACACTTTCCGGGACCTTGTTGTAATAGCGTATACATTGCCCCAAGAATGAATTACTGACTCTGTGGAGTCGAGAAACTGGCATCACTAGCTTGTGTTTGTTCCTAGTGATGTATATAAGAATGTATATCACTGTTTTTACTAAAACTATCTTTGTTTTTGTGAACATACATTAAATTTTCGTAAATATACTGAGAGGCCAAAGTTAATATATTAATTTCTTTAAATTTATCTCTAAGAGACTCTTGGTTTTAGATTGTAAATAGCTCTAATGGCCCTCTTCTGTAAAACAAAAATAGTTTCTGAATCAGTCGCATTTCCCCATAGCAAAATCCCGTAAGACATTATGCTATGGAAATAACTAAAATAAACTAATCTAGCTGTCTCGACACTAGTGAGACCTCTAATCTTTTTTACAGCATAGGCTGCAGAACTTAGTCTGCTTGCTAATTTGGATATATGGGGGCCCCACTGGAGCTTTGCGTTAAGAGTGATGCCAAGAAAAACAGTGCATACAACAGGGCTCAATTCCTTCCCATTTAAAAACACATTGGTATTCAGATTTTTAACATTCGTTGTTGTAAATTTAACACAGTTAGTTTTATTTCCGTTCAAATGCAGATTATTAACGTTAAACCAATGCACTAATTTTGATATAGCATTATTCACTTCGTCACATTTAAATGATTGACGTTTAAGTTTAAAAATCAAGGAAGTATCATCAGCAAATAATACTATATCATGACTATCCCCTACAAGGTGAGGTAAGTCATTAATATACACCAGAAACAAGAATGGGCCGAGAATCGAGCCCTGAGGAACATCCATTAGTACAGGTGACCCGGAAGAACTTTTACCATTGATAATAACCTTCTGTTTTCTATTACTTAAATATGAAATAATAAGTTTAAGCGCTGTGTTCTTGACACCGTAGTACTGTAGCTTCCTGATTAATGTCTCATGGTGAAGACAGTCGAAGGCCTTGGAAAGGTCACAAAATATACCCAAAGCATCCTCTGAATTCTCCCATGCACAAAAAATATGTTTAATAAGCTCAACTCCAGCGTCAGTTGTCGACCGACCCCTTGTAAAACCGAATTGATTTTTGTGTAGCAATTTATTAATATTAAAGAAACTTAACATCTCATATAAAATAATTATTTCAAAAATTTTACTTAATGTTGGCAGTACAGAAATTGGTCTAAAATTGGCGGGGTCTAATGTACTGAAGAACTGAAGACTGACTTGCACTGTTTACATGCAGTCACTAGTCGTGGTAACTTCTTCAGAATGTACGCACGTTATTGAAACCAGTGGGCAAAAATGAATTCACGGAATCGGCAGCATTTACAACGATTGAAATATTTATGGAGAAAATGTTCCTATTTGCTGTTAAAAAAGTTGACGGTAATGTTTGAAGAAGATATATTTAAAAAGAAACTAATTTAGATAAGAAAATGGATAGACGACAGAAATGAAACTGAAGGTTCTGCTTTGTTGTTGACGTAACGTCACTCTGTATACAGCGACTGACCAAGTACTGACTTGGTAGTTTAGACAAGGTTAATACCGCTGGCTTGGGCGGCGGGGGAAATGGACTGACTTTAAAATATTCAAACAAGAATATTGAAGTCAGCATTGGCGCGACAGCGCTGTACTGACTCCAAATCAATTTACACTGTGTCAGTATCGGGTCAGCTCTGACTTGCCTCGAATTTGAAGCTAGTTACTGACCCTGTGTAAATCTTTTTTTTATATGATAAGGGTGACAAATGAACACACAGTCCACCTGATGGTAAATGGTTGCTGCGGCCCATAGACATCTACATTCCATGATTGCCTCATTTCCAGTAAAAAGGGTCTCCGTTTCTCTACACTCACCATACGAAACACAGCAGCGCTAAGCTGCTATTTTACGCTGGTATTCTGTGAGAGCGTAGTCCTTCCCCGGTCGAGCCGACCCATTCGTGCTACAAGTATAAGTGCTACTAATATAGCAGCAGCATGGCTCTACCACGTAAAAATCAGCCATAACACCTCGTCGACAAGACCCACAGGATGAAATTTTATAGGATTTAATGGATGAATTATTAATTTCCTTTCAAGTCCACTGCTGAACATAGGACTTTACCATAGATTGCCTCATAGGGAAGATTTTGCCATAGTTCCCACGCTTGGCAGACGGGATAGCAACCGCAGTGTTTTGTTATTTTCAGTTGTTATCAGGAAGATGCTGCTGCCCTTCTTCTGTTTTAGTTTCCCTCTGTCGCCTCTTACGACAGATACGGAATGATATGAATGGTGGATATTCTTACACCGGCACTATACGGATTGTAAAATAATAGTAAAATTGAGATTTCTCCTAAAACAGGAGGCAAATGCAGGGAGCGCCAACGATAGAGGCCCAAGTACATTAGAGTACTTCTACGAATTGGTAAAGAATATAATCTTTAAAATGGAGGATATATAGTTTATAAGTTAATTAAAACTTACCCCCTCAGGAATCAAATAACCTTTCAATACAATATCTTTTTGCAATAGACGTCCAACACCAATTGACACAGGATTAAGCCTCAGACTCTCTTTGATACAACTACGAACATAAACTGCCTTTGAAAGTACATCTGATGTAAGAATAGATTCCTTTGTTGGTAACAGATTTGCAACTTCTTTGTATAATTTCTGTTGACATTCCGGATTGCGGGCGAGGTGATATAATGCAAAACTTGTTGCATAAGCAGTCTAGTATTTAAAACAAAAATAAAATAAAATGGCAATCTATGCTTACTACCAACATATACATAGGGCAAAATAAATTTTCTTATGCTTTTTTTTTTTATTGTGAGCGTGGTAGTTCACGGTCTCAGCGTTTGCTGTATCTACTTAAATATTAAATAGTTAGTTGCAAATTAAAGTGCTGATTTACAACGTGCTCGGCGGAGAAGTAAAACATTGTAAAGAACCCTGTCTTAGAAATTAAAAACAATTTCAACGACTAATAAAGTCCTTCAACGTGCATTAGAGCAGCGCGGCTGACATTTTCTTGTCCCAAACGCTCACAGAAATGAGAGGAGGCCTGTGCCCAGGAGTGGAACTTCTTAGGCTGTAATTTTACTTTACTTTTGGAACGAAGTTCCTTATCGGACGGTACGAGTTTGGCAGATGGAGGCTAGGCGAGAAAAAGTGTAAGATTCTTCCGTCACGACCCCTTCTGACGTAGTGTAGACGGCCTTAGCGGCCATAAGGAAGCGAGATCGAATAATATCAATCTCCCTCGCACCTTTTCTTATCTTACCATAAAATATTTTATTTTAAATGACGATTCATTTTAATAGTCACTAATAATTCATTTATATGTATTGGTTAATCAAAAATATAATACGTTTATCAATAATAATGTACTACGAAAGGAACTTCGTTCCAACCGAGAGTTCCACGACACTCACGCATGTTTTTTATATTTTTATTTCTTGACGGTTCCGAGCTCTGAACACGTAACAGTTTCATAACATAAAAAGCTGCTAATCCAAGTTATCTGAATCTGTTGACTTCATAAAAATCGCTAGATCTACTTAAATAAAGTCAGTATATTGTTTTAAATATGAGAAGCAAAAGAAAACAATTTTTAATAAAGTTACCGTGTCTATTGCCGCCATTAATATGTCGACCATCATTCCAATGATATCTTTTAAATCTAAATTCGGTTGCTGCAAAAAAGATTCTAATAGAGAATTATTTTTTCTCTCATGTTCTTTGCCAAAAAAATTAATTTTATTCAATAATATATCCATTGATACCCTGTAAACATAAAACTAGAATAAAAAATGTGTTGTTATAACCTTCACTTTACTTTAATTATTAATTAAATAAATTTAAAAATTTATGTTTGTTTGTTCGTATTTTATGCGCTGCCATACCGTTTTAAACTTTGTCAACTTATTGCCGGCCTTGCGGGAAGGTTATAGGCATAGTACAATTAACTTACGGTAGGTGGCGCGCGTATCGTACTCGTACCAACATATTTATTTGAAAGTCATAATATGTCAGTCAATTTCAATTAATCTAATTAATCCCCTTCCAAATTTAAAACGATATTTCCACAAATATTTTTCCTGCGGTAGCAATGCGCCGGGCACCAGCTAATATAATGTAACAGATTTAATTAAACGTCACCTCCGTCCCGAAATAAGATCTGAGTTACCTTGTCTTGGTATGGAGGATACAAATGTTTGAATGTACGTGTGTACGTATGTACGTTCAAATATTCTTATCACGGAAACGATCAGCTAGGACGAATGATTGCCGCTCTGTCAGCACGTATACCTGCTTTTGCTCTTTGCACAATCGATAACATCCGACCACAAGACTCAATGAGGTTTGAGCTAGGAGCTCATAGAGCAATATCTACCCTCGCCCGCAGCGGTAGCGGGAACGCAAATCGCGTAAAATATAAGTCAGAAGAATAGCAAATTTGGCACACGAAAATTCTGGAAGAATTTTACTTCATCATTCAGCAACTCAGGAAATGTTCTCGGCGCGTGTGATTGTTTGTGGCGTTGCTGCATCGACGGGCAAGTAATAGTAGTAGTGGCAAGCCGCGGTCGTCATTGTAAATAAACCGCTTTGCGCCCGCCCGACTTGCGATCATCTCCCGCCAATTTTTTGAGCGTTACCGCCTCCGTGGCGCTCTGTGAGTTCTTAGTCTTAGGTTTTTGTGCTCGCAACAGTACTACTCAAAAATTACTGAGATACTACTTTGGTCGAATTTGGTGAGAATGACATCATCATGGAATATTTAACTTTAGATATATTTTAAGATTAATAGAAATTTAAAGCTTTAAAGAAATAGGTATTTAAGGGTTTGCTCGTACATATAGACACCGAATACCTTCGTAAAGCCATCAGGGGTGAAATCGCATCTGCATTTTGATTTTTAAGTCCAAGGGTCAGTGTTCACTTACGTGCCTCTTAAACTATTGAACATAGGCGAACATAGACTTTTTAATTTACTTACCAGTTGAATGCAGTTCTTTAATAAATTACCAACATTCACTTAATCTATATTATTACGTACGTACATAAATACTAAGTACTCATTTATATATTTATTTGAGTAATCGTTAGGAGCACTCTTAGGACATAGGCATAGGGCGAACACTATGTTTCGTTAACACACACACGCACACACACACACACATCTTAACACATTCTTTTACCTACTTTTCTAAATATTGTTGAGATTCCACAAGTTTTTTGTACAGTGGTGTTTTAAAAATCCTCCAAAGAATCCCTTTGTCAAGTTTCATAATACCACTATTGGAGCCAAATGCTGCTGCAATCACTTTACTACTGCGGGACTCGGACGCTTGTTCTTGTAATGTAAAACTATTAAATTTCTCATTAAACGCCACCACTCCGATAACTGTAAAGAATAAATAATGTCAAACATTCCGTAAAATATTGAAGGATAAATAATGTCCTCCAGACCGAAATACGGTAACAGCAGCAAATCCAATCGGAGACTAGACATCTGCGCAGGACAGGATTATATTGCACGAATGTGTGCGCAAACACTCTCTATTCCCTCACTCTCATAGCATGATGGGGCGGCAATCGGACCCTGAGACAGCTGGAGAGAGACCAGGTGCATTACCAACAGCATTTCAAGCTTTTCGAGGCACGGAGGTGAAAAGTTCCTGATTCCAAACTGCTATTGAGAATTATTAACAGAAAAAGTTTACGTGGTAGAGCCATGCTGCAGCTATATTAATTGTATAGTGGTAGCACGAATGGGTCGACTCGACCGGGAAAGGATCACGCTCTCACAGAATACCAGCGTAAAATAGCGGCTTCGTGCTGCTGTGTTTCGTATGGTGAGTTTAAAGAACCGGAGACCCGTTTTACTAGAAACGAGGCATTTCAATTTAGTCCTCACGGGTGACAACGCATCTGCATTTTGATTCGTCATCGAGGATAGATGAGATGTCTATGATGAGGAAACAGCGAGCGTTCTTGGCACTATAGGTACCTAACGCGGGGAGTAGGAACGTTTGACAATTAAAGTTTTTAGTTTTTTTTTTAATGGTGATATATATTGTACCAATATTTTAATTAAAAATTATATATCTAGCATTTGAACTGTATACTTAAAAATAAAAAAGAGGACACGTATATTATGTAAGGCTACGTATACCTACGTATGCTTTAGAACTCAAATATAAAGTATACCTTCTAGATTGAGCCTGTTAAGATAAATCAAAAAATCTTCATTATGCGACAGCTTGCTATCCCGTATCCATTTAACAAATTCACGAACAACGTCGTCTGTATTTTCAACGTATTGCTTAGCATTTTGTGGACCAGTAAAATTCTTTTGAAATGTACTTCGAAGTCGCCACCAATCCGGGCCATTCCTGAAAAATGTATACATACTTTCATCAAGTCTTATGATATAGCATTATGAGTTGTTAATTTGGCTTGCGTGATGCATGCAAAGCATAGCGAATTATTATCAAACTAACGATTTAACTCTTGTGTATATGTAATCTGCAATTTATTGCAATTTGATTATGCGCTTGCTATAAACATTTCCATTTTACAAAATCAGGTGTGTTTGCGGTGTGTGTGTGTGTGTGTGTGTGTGTGTGTGTGTGTGTGTGTGTGTGTGTGTGTATGCGCGTGTGCGTGTGTGCGTGTGTGCATGTGTGTGCGTGTGCGCGTGTGCGCGTGTGCGCGTGTGCGTGTGCGTCAGCGTGTGCGCGTGTGCGCGTGTGTGCGAGTGCGCGTGGGCGCGTGTGTACGAGTGCGCGTGTGCGCGTGTGCGCGTGTGCGCGAGAGTGCGCGAGTGCACATGTGTGCGTGTGTGCGTATGTGCGTATGTGCGTGTGTGCGTGTGTACGTGTGTGCGTGCGTGCGTGCGTGTGTGCGTGTGTGTGTGTGTGTGTGTGTGTGTGTGTGTGTGTGTGTGTGTGTTTCTTGTATAATCGATGTGATACCTACAATTTCTTTTGTGATGCGTCCGGATCCAATTATAAGGGACCCGGGCACTAACTGTTGTTTGTTTCATTGCCGCTTCTCTGCTGACTCCACTAAGTATAGAAAACTAGCAATGAAGCAAAGAAAGAAAACTCAATCGCAGTAGGTAACTACTTATTTCCATGACGATACAAGTTTTGTTAGATATTCATATAAGTATACAATTAAAAAAATGAGGAAGCTCAAGGTCGCTCAGCGAGCTATGGAGAGGGCTATGCTCAGAGTTTCTCTGCGTGATAAACTCAGAAATGAGGATATCCGCAGTAGAACCAGAGTAACCGACATAGCCCAACGGATTGGTGAGCTGAAGTGGCAGTGGGCCGGCCATATAGCTCGAAGAACCGACAACCGATGGGGAAGAAAGGTTCTCGAGTGGCAGCCTCGTACCGGTAGGCGAAGTGTAGGGCGTCCCCCCACGAGATGGAGTGACGACCTGGTAAGACATGCAGGAAGTCGATGGATGCAGGTGGCTCAGGACCGTGCTTTGTGGCATTTTTTGGGGGAGGCCTATGTTCAGCAGTGGACTTGTGAAGGGCTGTAATGATGATGATGATACAATTAAAACATATTTTTCGCCCATCAACCTACTGTATTTATAGGTACTGAGGGAGCACTAAATACATTGACAATATTATATAAATATATTAAATACATTACGTTGAAAGTAATCCACCAGTGTTGTACACGCTCGGTTTGCTTAGACGATAATGAAGCATGGCAACGTGACTCCGTCTAGCTGGGTACCGATCGTTTTGTCGGAAAACAGCTTCGATTACTTCTGGTTCAAAGACATGAAGTAAATTCACACCAGGAACTTCTCTTACGAGACCTCCGTAACGACGCCAATTTAACCATGCGTTCTTGTCGAGCGCTTCTGCATTATATTCTCCTGAAAGTACCTCATTCATTTATTTTTCCGTAGACATAATTGCCTTCGAACTCTTGGATGCCCCAAGAAAGGGAAGCGAAGTCAAATATTTTAAGAGTTAAGCCGCAGTAGGTCAGGGGCTAAGCGCTCGCTGTACAAACAGTTCGTGAGCAACCCGTGTTCGATGCAATAATTAAATTGTTAATTGCAATTTTAAGTGCTGATTTACCATACTCGGCGGTGAAGTAAAACATCGTGAGAAAACCTGCGTGTCTGAGAAATAAAAAAAAATATTTCGAAGACGTGTGAAGTTCGCCACTGCGGCAGACATTTCCTTGCACTAAAACCCTCTTAGAAATGAGGGGAGGCCTGTCCCCAGCAGTGGGACGTATATAGGATGTAACATTAAGGGTTAAGTTTATCACAACACATCCAGTACCAAAAACCAAGAAATTTTGTTTTTTTTTTTTCATAAATGTCAGCCTCGACTTGAAGCTATAAAAAAGGGACCTATAAAAATCAGCGGACGGCTAGTAAAATACATACGTAGCGAGGAAGTCTTCTTAAAAATCCACTGCTGGACATGGGCTTCACTCGATGTAGGGAGAATTTTCCTTTATCGTCACGCTTGGTACGTGAATTGACAATAGTCGCTTTGTACGATAACGGAATGGAATGAGTTGATGAATACAAAAATACAATTATCTATGGTGCCTTGGTTAAAAGATTTGTTAAGTGAAAAAAACTCTTCCTAAATCATAGAGTAAGCCCGAGGCTTTCATTTAACTACATTTTGTAATAAAACGGATTAGGTTTAACACATAAAACCAAGTTATTGTATGTTATTATTTAACTTACCTATGAATGGCCAATATTTGTACAATGTTCCTATAATTGGATAACTCTTGGGCCCAGGTATCTCGTTAAAATTTATAGGTGTTTCTTTGAGAATACTTTCTTTGTTCAATAATTTACCCGACACCGATCTCCAATTACATCTCAATTGTTTCTTAAGTTTAATCCTACTTATTATCACGAATTGAATCATTGTTTTTAATATTTTTTACAATCAGTCCATATAACACGGATAGCGAAACATCACTGGGCATCTGATTACAGAATAGGTCGCTGAGCCGTAACAAGATGCACATAATAAAAGCAAAAGGAATTGTAAAAAGAGCCCGAGTCCAGGTAACCTGAATATAAATATATTTTACGTCGCCGTTCGTCTCTGAGATATTGAATTTATTAATTCGTAGTAGGTAGATATAAGTACAAGTCTAATGACGAAAATGTAAAATTACGCAAATTATAACGTTAACTTTTAAGACATACAATCATGTTTTACACGTGGTAGAGCCATACTGCACCTATATTAGTAGTATAGTTGTATCACGATTGGGTCGACTCGACTGGGTAAGGCCCACGCTTTCACAGAATACCAGCGTAAAATAGCAGCTTAACGCATCTGCATTTTGATTCTTTATTGAGGATCAATGTAGATGTCTATGGGTCACAGCAACCACTTACCATCAGGTGGACTGTGTGCTCGTTTGTCACTCTATCCTATAAAAAAAAGACATTAAAACAAGTTATTTATAAAGCTTGTTAACATTCTAAAGTTATAGCTTTGAGGCCCCCAGGTCCCTCCCGCAGTAGTTATGATCACTACAGCACTTGGCAAGTATATTAAGTGCTACGCTTACTACTTACCTTACCTATGTTTTGCCCCGTCGCATCGCATCGGTCGCGTCGATGGCCCATACATTTAAACACCAGATGGTTATTCTATCATTCCTTAAGGCACAGGTTGAGCAAAATGTCGCGCTAGTCGTTATTTGTGCGGTTTTTAGGAGCTATCTACTTTTTATTTAAAAGATATATCAACAAATAAAAAACACATTATATTTCTACATAATCTTGATTCCATAAGAGTCATATCCAATTTTTTTAAGGAATAAATATTAATATAATCTCCTTACAACCAAACCACATAAATGTGAAATAATTATTGATAACATGCATCTCCTCGTAAAGTAAGTATTATTTTATTTTGCGATTTACACCAATAGATAGGCAATGTATTAATGAACATTTCTATTATATTTTTTTTTCAATAGACCAAAATTTGATTTTATTAAGAAATTATCTTAAAATCTGGGCGTATTCATTGCCCGCGCGATAGCAGGCCTCAGTGAGCGGCAAGCTCTTGCGTGTGAAACCCGTGTCGTTAGTCACCGCATCGGCCAGCGCATATTATGTTTCGTCAATTCATAGGTTAGATATAGTTATTATTATTTAGTATTATTATTTGTTTGTGTGGTGGTTTTTTGTGTTTGTTATATACTTGTGGTTTTTTACTGCACAAAGAAGCTTTTTGAACTACTGAGTTTTGCGAAAAGACGCTACTGTTGGTGTTATTTATACGGCACACAAAATACAAGAAAGTTTTGCGACAAAGACGTGCAAATGCAGCAAAATTGTGCGAAATTCGATAAGCTGTCGTAATTATATTCTCAATAATAGTGAAATTATTAGTTAATTATCGTATATTTTTAATTATTACGTCCTCCAGACCGAATTTCGGTCACGGCGGCCAGTCTCAACGGAGTTTATTTATAGCTGGAGTCGGAAAGGACAAAATATTTATGACGGAATAACAACAACATCTGAACATTCTCAACAAAATTATGTTGATAACGGTTATGTACCTATTATACCTACTAAAACCTATTATAAATCTACTAAAAACTAGTCTAAGATGTCAGTAGTTAGTAAAGTGATAACATATCATCATTTTCATATAATATTATTTTATCGACAAATAAAATTGATTCTTCGTACAAATCAAACTACACATTTATGAACACACAATATTCAGTACGTAGGTACTTAGTTCAGTGCTTGTCATGAATTTATTTTTGTGTGTGTAAATATTTGAAATTTAATGTATAAATAAATAATCTTTTTTAGGATAATAGATAACCAAAGTGATGCACAGCCTCCTCTAATAGAAATTTCTAATATGCAACCGATGGAAATAAGCAATAATGAGTATTAGATGATGATGATGATGATTAGATCTTTTTCTCAGTTACGTAACGTTCACAGGGTAAATTACATTTAGGTACTGTTTAGCATGCTAAGTGTTATCACATTAGTAAAGAAACTGAACAGAGTCAAAGTTTCATTTCGTAAAACCGCGCTATGCTACTGCGCTGCGATACGCGGAGTAGGCATGTGTCAATCGTGAATGTGTTTATCATTTCCCCGCATAAAAGTATTGATGATTGCAATCACATATTTAAAACGAACCGGATCAAACTATTGATATGGCTTTTATAACCGTTACCTACGATTGAATGTTTGCACAATTGGAAATGTAAAAGTATTTTGCGAATAGGCTTTTTTCTTCTTATTATTTAAAATAATTGTGATAATCACCTCCACCAATTTTTACTACCATTATAAAGCAAAAGCGCTTGTGTGTCAGTCAGCTTGAGATAGTCGTCAGTCGTCAAGTTAGTACTCTAAAACCTATTTTATCTTTCGAGCACATGTATATGAGCATAGAATTATTACGCATAGAAATGCAGTCTAGTACAAAACACGAGCGTTAAAGTGAAGCAAGGTCATTATGTTAGGTGGCGCGAGTCGAATGTGCCTACGCTCGTCACACGCACACATACACGGCATTCAGTGACACCAGTTTCTGACGTTTGCAATCAAATTGTGCTAAGCTAATCACTATTTTATTGATTAATTTTAAATAATCGATATAATAAAGATTACCTACGTACGAAGACATATTTTATGAGAATCATAATATGGAATATAAAATGTAATAAAATAAACACGATAATGATGGTACTAATATAACTTTATTATACATATTTTATATATAATAAAGTTATATAAATATGTTACAAAAATGCAGACGTCATAAATTTTAAGAATATTATTAAACACAATTGATTTGCTCGAATACAATAAGCACATCGTGTAATCTTTAATTTTAACCGCCTTCAAAAAAGGAGGAGGTTCTCAATTAGGTGTATTTTATATTTTTACACCTTATAATTCTATAATTTCTAAACTGATTTACATTTTTTTATTTGAAATTATATATACAGAGATTGATCCAATACACACGCTGAAGTTTTAATGGTTGTTTTCCCGAAGTCGAATGAGTTTGTCTTGATAGTACAATAGATTTATTAAAATAAAAATTATTAGGATGCAAAAATGGCAGATTTACAATCGAGAAAAACAAAACTCGAATGCGATCTTAAGGTAATAGCTATATCTCGCAAGTAGGTCAGGCGTGCAGGCTAGCTTATGCCATATTACTATAATAAAGTCTGAAAAAACGTAACGCAGTGTTACGTCTATCGCACGCGCTACCGCGCTGCCTACACAGTGAAGGGCCACTAAAAATGTTCAGAGCAGGTACTCTCAAGTGTAGTGATACGACATAAACTAGTGTGGAGTCTGGGGGCCCGACTAGCTCGTGAGGTATTACTATTGTAAATCTGCCCTTTTTTAATTGACATATTTTAATAAATTGACTCTACTATGAAGACACTATAATTTGGCTGCGGGAAAGAAAAACACTAAAATTTCAGCATGTATATACGAATTGATCTAGAATCGTCTTAGAAATCAGTATGTACATACATAATTGATAACCACTCCTTTTTGGGAGTCGGTTAAAATTTGGTTTGGATGTAAAGTGACATCTGGTTAATGTTTGGGTGTACAGTAACATCTGGTTAGTAAAGGCGTTCTTATTAATAATCTCTTGATTTAGTAAATAAAAAAAAGTTTTTATTCTATACTCTAAAACGTCGACTTAGTCAATAAACAAAGCAATTACTACAAAATAGTTGCTTTAAAATGGCGTCGACGGATCGCGATCAGCTGATCACTCCGTATTAGTTTTAAATTGGCAACCATTGTTAATATTATGTTAATACTTAGAGAAGTAGGTATCTATATATAAACATTTGAGTTTTACACAGAGCGTTGCGATTAAACGTTTTAAACACAAATACAAAATAAATATTTATAAAAGAAAATTGTGATTTTTTCCCCACAACTAGCAACATTTGTATTATGATAGCTTCGGTAAATATTTTTTTAGTTTTACGTACTTATTATGAATTATATATATGAACTTATATGTAAAATGTAATATCATAACTTTTTTATGTTTATCATCACTGTTGTGACAATATTTTACAACACAAACGGTCATTTTTTACAATTTTTCACGAGCTCTTTTCCGTAAGACGTGACGTTGCGCACTGACGCGTCGCTGAGTCAACTTACACGGTTTCGAGTTAGTTTTAGTTGCTTCACTTTTGGTGCGCGTACTAGTATTCTATACGTAATAATTCTACCTATATGTATATGAGATACAAAAGCATTTCATTTAGTTAGTAAATATTTATTAGTCGCGTTTACGACCACTAGACTGAAGTCTAAAAGTCGGGTTTGAATCCCGGGTCGAGTCAAAATCAGTTATTGAGTTTTTCTGGCAAGTATAGATTATTAACCGATGATTAGCAAATTATTTCATTACTAATCACTCGAACCTAAAATAATTCAGGAGGAATCATTGAATGAGTACCGAAAACTATTCCACCTATATTTTTTATGCGATTCTTTTCCTATTGTTGATATAAAAAAAAAACATTTTTTATACATTTTTTAAAAATTTTTTTATAGGATAGGTGACAAATGAGCGCACAGTCCACCTGATGGTAAGTGGTAGCTGTGGTCCATAGACATCTACATCTATCCTCGTTTGCGAATCAAAATGCAGATGCGTTTTCACCCGTGGGGACTAAGGTGGAATGCCTCTTTTCCAGTAAAAAGGGCCTCCGGCCACCTGCACTCACCGAGCGAAACGCAGAGGTAAACCTCTACTTCACGCTGGTATTCTGTGAGGTCGTGGTACCACCCCGGTTTGAGCCGGCCCATCCGTGCGACAGCAAAAGCTGCCGCGTGGCTCTACCACTGTCAAAACTACATTTTAATGAGCCA